CTAGGAGAGGGAACTGCTGGAAGAATATAAACTGTGTTGCTGAGTAATAGCATCCTAATTGAAGCCACAGAAAGCCAAAGAATCTAATTAGTCAGGAAAACACATTTCATTGCATTCTTAGTAATTTGTTTTGAAAAAATCCAACTGGATTTGAAATTTAACAGATTTTCAATATGTTCAGAGCAGATTACACTGATTATACTTGCATGTAGAGAAAATGAAAAATACAGTTTTAGAGACATATACAAGAAAGCATTTAATTCAAAATTGTGTTTGCTGTTGTCCCTTACTATCTGGGTACCATTATATAAAGTTCTGCTGAGAGGATGGAAAAAATAAATTAGGACTTTTGTTGAGTTGGTAAGCATTACTGGAGACCATCACCCATTTCTTTAATCCACAGGCAATCTGAGACATATTTGAAGCTGTAGCTCAGCCAAAAAAAATGAAAAGAGCATCATCTGTGCACCCCACTGCCTCCCCTCTTTCTCTCCCTCCTTCTGCCTCCCTCCCTCCCTCCCTCCCTCCCTCTCTCCCTCCTTGTTTATGTACAAGTTTTCACAATGAAATTTTTTTGACAAAATGTACAGCTAGATCTCCAGCTGGACTGAAGTGGTGTTACTCACTTCATTTACATTTAGCTTTCAAAAATTTGTATTTTTGGTGAGCTTATATGCAAATGATTACATGGTAAGACCTCAGTGTGGTGGGTTTCTTGTATCTTGAATGGTTTTGTCAAACACTAAATAGGAGAGAAGAAAATCAAAATTATGCCTAGTGTTAGGATACTTTGCTCACACAAACTGATAAAAAAACCACTATGCAAAACCATAAAAGACTATTCTTGCAGAGGGCAAATAAAAATTCAGTGTTATATCCTCTTGGAAGTTTTTTTACCTATTAAATCTCGAGCGTGGATAAGGTCAATAATGTGGACAATTAAGCCTCTCTCTCATCAACTTTATTCTATAGTGGATGAATGTGTCTTAAAATCCATTTATGCACATTTTTATCTGTTTTTGAGATTTGGGGTTTTCAGAAGTATGCACTTTTTATTGTGCATATATATGCAGTCCATATAAGCTACATTCATAATAACAAAGTGCTATTTGAAATTCTTTAGAGAGTCACCATTACTTGTACTAACATCAGAAGGATGATATTCACTGATCTGACATAAACAATATCGGACATATTTAAATTTCATCAAGGTCTTTTTAGATAAAAATTCGAACATCATCTTCAAACTCAAACTGTAGCTCTACCATACTTCAGACGAGAAGAATGAAAATAGAAGTCCTTAGGCAAAAAGAAAAAGAGGATGCACCTGAAAATATATGCAAAATTAAAAGGAAATACAGAACATGGATGAGAATGAATCCTGCAAGTCCTTGCTTGCAACATAGCCATCTTTCATTAGAATATTCCTCCCATGTATAAGGACAGTAATAGTATACATAAGTAATTAGTACATATTAGTAATTAGTAATTAGACAGTAATTAGTATATATTAGCATACTAATAACTTCAGCTGGACTACTAGAAATAATAATGGATTAACCCGCACGAGTGAGAATCCCTGCCTTGTTAAGGACTAGGCTAGTTCTGTTGCTTCCCATTTTTTATAAAATTACGTATTTGTTACGTAAGTTCCTCCCACATGCACTGCAATTGGATTTGTTCTTTCTTCCTGCAATGAACTGCTGCACAGTATTGCTGTGCACCGCTCCACAAGTTCATAGTTGCTGAAGCTTGGGTTAAGTAGGCTTGTCCTTCTGCACAACACTCCTGAATTCTTAATGGGCTTCTGCTCCTATGGTGTCCAG